AGGTTTACTTTACCTCTACAGCTAAGGATGCATCCGTGTACCAACTGCATTTTTTTTTATTGATTTAGATTTGAAAGGCATTTTGATTGGGCTGCTGCCTTATCAAAGCAAGGAAAGCCTCACTTTTTAACTCATTAAAAAATACAATTTAAGCATTGAAAAACCTTGACATAAATAATCTCCGCCTGAACAATATTGTCGGAAAATAATAATAATAATAATAATAATAATAATAAAATAAATAAATAAAATAGACATTATAACAAATTAAAATGAGTGTTCATGGATTCGCAAGAACGAATCTATGCTTTACTTTTCTACAATTCACAAGTAACTTCCCAACAGTCGATATCAACCAAGGACAGTTTGTGTGTGCGCGCTTCCCTCGAAATCATTTCTTTTGTTGCGATCGGACGGCTTAGGAGGTCTAGTTTGGCCTTCTATTAATGAGAGAGACGGACGGATGTCTTAGTGGACTTCCAGTGTGATTTGAGCGTTATAAATGTTCGTGGGTGCGATCTGACCGTTTGCCCAAAAAGGCGGTGCCATCGGACCCATCCCACAAGGTCCAAGGTTGATTGGCCGGATTAGGCCAAGTCCGGGTCAAAGTGTAACATGTCATATATGAAGATTATTTCTTTTCTATGTGGATGGAGGTAGTTGGTGTTGTGTTTCATACCAAATTTAAAATTTTCAATAGGTAATGATGTATTTTAGTATGTTGGAATTTACATTTAATGGTTAAGAGTAATTGTGATTGTTTTATACTGAAATAAGCGAAAATATGAAAAAAATTATTTATTTTTTATACAAGGATGTTACAATTACATTTGTCAATCAGATTTTTAATTGAGTAGTGTAACACAAGACTCAAAATTTTTTTTAAAAAATCTCGAACTGCGGTACAATGAAAGTCGTCTAATTTGATATCTAATCAATATTGTTAAATTCGCTTTGGAGTCTTCTTTTGTTTCATGATAAAAATGAAGAAATTCGGTGTTTCGGTTGATTCAGAAAAAAACTTTGGATAATATAAATAAATTAGATTTATATATATATAAATCATTTATATAGTTTTTTTGGGCTGGTCGGAGCAGATCCGAAGCAAAGCAGTCCAAATTTGATTGAAGTAGCATGAAGCGGTCCGAATTTGACCGAAACAGTAGCACCAGGCTTCATTTCTCTTTGTTTTATGTCTTAAATCCAAAGGCTTTGGCCGTATGGAAGCAAGTTTGATAACATTGCATCTAATAACTAGTAGCAATTATGACCTCTTTATAATAAAAGGAAAAAGTTTATATAGAGTCGAGGCTCTAAACAATCAAATTAGAGCCCGCCTAAAAAATTTTACTAGAAGAGGCTGTTGTGATGCTCAAATATCATCAAATTGATCAACTTGACATCAAGATGCATGGACAAGAGGAAAAAATTGATTTTAAGTTTTGGAAATAGTCCATCTTGTAATACATTTTTGGATCATCAAATTTCAATATTTTCAAGTTTTCATATATCTGCTCGATCAATACTATTTTTTAAGCTTTTAATTTTATAATTAAAAATGAAAATATATTTTAAGTCTATCACAAAAATTTCCAATATTAAAACCACATTTCCCAACACTATTTGAAGGTGTGTTTTACTTTGATTGTTTAGAGCCTCGGCTCTATACAAACTGCACCCATAATAAAGATAACTACACCCATAATAAAAATAAATGGTTTCATAGTATACAATGAGAATGACATTGTAGTGTGCATTCCCTAAAATAAAATGCGTATAGGAAAAATATCAATATCTTGTATATCTAATGGACAAAAAATAGTTTTATATTTTTTTTCTTTTTTATTTGAATAAAAAATTTATCCAAATTTTGGGGTATATGTTTGTTTTTATAAATAGACCTAAATAAAAATGATTAAAAAATATTTTAAATGAAAATAACTAAAATACCCTTAAATTTGTTTTTATCAATATTTTTATTTAAAATGTATTTATTATTTTTATTCAAATCTGATTATAAAGACAATGTCAAAATATAAATAGATTAATATCATTTTAAATAAAAAATTTAAATAAAAAATTAAATTGATTTTTGACCCTTGGATGAGGCTAGTTCAATCTGAACCATTTAAAGGAGTTTGTGCATCTTTTTAAGCGTCCTTGACAAGGTGTCTAAAAGAGAAAGGGTGCGGTCCGACCCACCCAACAAGATCCAAGGTTGATCGTACCGTATTAGGTCTAGTTGGGTCAAAATATAAACTGTTATATATAAAACAAAGGGTGCGGCATTCAAATAGTGTTGAGAAATATGGTTTCAATACTGAAAATTTTTGTAATAGCTTTAAAATATACTTTCATCTTTAATTATAAAATGTAAAGCCTAAAAAATAGTGTAGATCAAGCAGATCTATGAAAACTTGAAAATCTTGAAAATTGACAGTTAAAAAATGTGTTATAAGATGCATTATTTCTGAAACTTAAAATCCATTTTTTTCTTATGTCCATGTATGTTGATGTCGAGATTATCAATTTGATGATATTTGGGCATCAAAACAACATCTTCTAGTGAAAATTTTGAGGTAGGCTCTAATTTGATTGTTTAGAGCCTAGGATCTATATAAACTTTTCCCTAAAACAAAAAATATATAATATATTTAAGAATAGGTAGGAATAATAAAAACCGATGTAAATTTTCAAAAAAATATGACAATGAGGTTTGTAAAACGTATAGGTGCATTTCTAAATTTTAGAGGGAGATGTAATTCCATGTAGGAAATGAAAACTGGATTAAAAATCCATATTCAACTTTAATTATGAAATTTAAAATTTAAAAAATGTTGTAAATCAAACAAATCTATAAATGCTTGAAAATCTTGAAAATAGACGGTGAGGTAACTTATTACAAGATATACTATTTTAAGACTTGAATTTTTTATTTTTCTTTATATCTATACATTTTGATGCAGATAAAAAACGGGTTGATTGAAAATCTAATATTATTTTTATACTTTTAGTTTTTAGAGATATAGGTAGACTTTTATTTTTTTATCATTTATTTAGGGTTAATTGTTAGAAATATATTTAATGTAGGTTTTTGGTTTAGTAGATAAGGTAAGTCTTTTTGGATTGACTCCGTTTATTATTTTTTTTTGCAATTTTTTTTTTTAAGATATTTATTTAGGGTTTATTGTTAGAAATATATTTAATGTAGGTTTTTGGTTTAGTAGATGAGGTAAGTCTTTTTGGATTGAGTCCGTTTATTTTTTTTTTTGCAATTTTTTTTTTAAGATAATAATATTCCGTTTTATTTAAAAAAGAGAAGTCTTTCTTTTTGTCTGTTCTTCTTTTTGTTTATGAGTTTTTTTGAGAAGGTATGACATGTCTCATAATAAAAGAGTCCGTGGGTTCTTGGTTCTTTTGGATAGGAGGTAAAAGGTTATAGGAAGAGAAGCTTATCTTTTGTATTTGAAGAAGTACGTTTTTTAGATAATAAAGAGCGTTACTTACCTATTAGAAGATAATACATCATAAGGGAGGGGAATACATCATAAAGTGATAGAGGTTGCCGGCAAAACAGGGAGAATGTAAATTTAATGAAACAAGTCAGTTGAAAAGCGGGAGATAGTCATAATCTAACGGTTGGTAAAATAGATAATTCAATAGAAAATGTTTTAATAGGGCTGCAGCTAAGTCTGCCTTCTGAATGGGCCTAGGCCCATCCCATTCGATTTTGGGTTGGGCTGGGCCGGGCTTTAATGCTGTATTTTCGGGGCCCGGCCGGCCTTCTAGGCACAAGTTTTTGGGCTGGGTCTTGTCGAGTTGGTCCATAGTTATTTTAGGCTTTATCGACCCTCGGTCCGGTCGGCTCCAATCCCCGCCCGATGGCAGCTCCAATCCCCGCCCGATGGCAGCCTTTGTTGTAGCCCTGTCAAAATTGAAAGAAAGACCTATGTGATCTTTTATAGGTGATCTTTATTATAATAAGATAAATTTCAAAATAAAATCAACATAACAATAAAACCAAACAATAAAACCAACATCTTAACAACTTGATGTCATTGAAACAACTATGCATTATGCTTGAGAATAAAAGATAAAATTGCAAAAACAAAAAAAAGAAGAGTGGAGGAGATTACTTCAACCGAGTTTATTACACCCCACATCGAGTCACCACCATCTGATGTCGCGAGATGTCTAGCTTCAATCTCGAACCAGGAACGCAAATTTATACCAATGGAACGTGAACTCCTTTGATCACAAACTTAAATCCTAACCAACCTACTTTGAGATAGATGAATTCTCTTTTTACTAAACCCTTAGGTTCTTTCACCATATGAGAGAGAGGTCATACATGAGAGAGATTAAACATGAGAGTGTGGTGTGTGCCGAATTAGTTACAAGAGATAAGGTGTAGAGATTTTTGGGCAGAGACAATCCCTTTTTATAGGCTTGGATAAGATTAAGGTTTTTAGGGTTTTCCTGAGCTTGCCTCTTATTGTGAGAATGAAAATAGACCGTCGATCAAGGGTGACTTGTGGGGTGAGAGATCTTAGCCATCCATTCTATAGATAGGCCATCAACATTATGGAAGGTGGATGAACCATTATCCCCCTTTCGTAAACTATTTTCCATCAATATATTCAAATAAAATAAATATCATGCAGTCTATAAAATTGCACGATCCATGTCACATATTCCATAAAGATATGTCAAATAATATCAAGTAGATAAATACTACCAAATATAAATAAGATAAGATCCTTATCAATTCAAATTGACCATATCTTTTTAAAACAAACAAGTTAATAAAGCCATGATCAATATATCCCTTCAAAGATTTGACCACATGCCACGAATCAAACTCACCGTATCTTAAAAGCAAACAAGAGAATCCAAAGAGGGTGGGGCACATATGCCACATGGTGGGCCTATGTGCACTATGGGCCCCCATGGATTATTATAAAAAAAATATTATTTTTAAATTTGAATAAAACAATTTAAAATATATATTTGAATTTTTATATCTTTGTAAGAACAATGACTATATTTTTATAAGTCTAAAAGTCACAAATAAAATATTGAGAGATTCATAAAAATTCAAATAATAAAACTAAAAATATTTCAATAATAAAATGAACATAATTAAATTAATATGATGGGAAAATGATCTATATGGTTTTAGGAATCCAATCTGTAATAACGAGATACTCCACCTTCAACTTTGGACTACAGGCCACACTAGTTTTATCGAACCGACCCAGTGTTTCCCATGACCCACAGTCTAAGCAGGGGTTTATTAGCAGGTCACCAAAGTTAGGTCGATGAATCAAAAGGTTGTAATCCCAATCTGTGGATTACAGGTCCTCCCTTAGAGACAAGCCAAGGACCTAATGCGACCACAACTTTATGGCGCATAGGGGTATCTCTCGCACATGCATACGCTTCACCCAAAGGTGGATATCTAGCTTTTCCAAATGATCTATCAATATGCATGCCGTGTGATAGAACATGGATAAGGTTTTGG